TCTCTCTCTCTCTCTCTCTCTCTCTCTCTCTCTCTCTCTCCCTCTCTCTCTCTCTCTCTCTCTCTCTCTCTCTCTCTCTCTCTCTCTCTCTCTCTCTCTCTCTCTCTCTCTCTCTCTCTCTGTGTGTTATCTTAAGGACTGTTTGTACTTTCCTACCTTCTGGCCCAGAATGCTGGTCTGTGGGTTGATCTAGCTTGCAGACCTCTTTGTCTATTTCTATAACGATCAGCCTCTTTTCCTTTTGCTGGTTCCGCCACGGTGCGTTCATTCACTTGCTGTCTTTTGGGGTTGGTTTTTTTTTTTAATGACACCCTGGAAACTGCTTTTAATTGATCTGTTCAAGTCCTGCCAAGGGTCTGGCTTAGGACCACCCCCACCCCCTGCAATTTTCCGTGTGCCACTTCCAATGCACCCGCGACCTTTCCCTTCCTCCCTCCCTCTTTGGCCGTGCATTTCATCAACTCACACTTCCAAGGCTGAATATTGAAAGCTCCAACAGCTTTTTGTGGCTTTTCCTTTTTAGCTCGTTTCCGCTTCGCTGGCTTCTCAAACTGTAGCTATCTCGGGGCAAAAGTCTTGAGGAGAAAACCCGGCCTTCGCATTAATCTCAAAGCGGGAAGTCTGAACTCTGCAGCTGCCAAGGATGGCATCGTTTGAAAGAGAGAGAAAATATCAGCAGAAGAGGATATTTGTAGCCCAGGGTTGGACTTTACTGCTCTCTGAGCTTGGTGGTTTTCTTGCAGACGTTTCATGACCCAACTAGGTAGCATCATCAGTGCTAGAAGGGAGTGGGGTTTGTGGAAAGGAGGAGGAAGAAGAGGAAGGAGGAGGAGGAGGAGGTTGAGGAGAAGAAGGAGAAGGAGGAGGAGGAGGAGGAGAAGAAGAAGAAGAAGAAGAAGAAGAAGAAGAAGAAGAAGAAGAAGAAAGAAAGAAAGAAAGAAAGAAAGAAAGAAAGAAAGAAAGAAAGAAAGAAAGAACAACAACTGTGGGACCAGGGTTGAACTGCAGAGTCTTTACTGTTCTCTGAGCTTGGTGGTTTTCTTGCAGACATCTCATTACCCATCTAGGTCACATTATCGGTGCTTAGAGGGGAGTGGAATTTGATGCAACATATGTTATATTCTATACAACATAGCAGCACACTCCCACCAGCACTGGTAACGCAAGCCCCTTGTGTAGAAACACAAAGCAAGCCCCTTTCCCTTCTAACACTGATGATGTTACCTAGATGGGTAATGAGACATCTGCAGGGAAATAACCGAGCTCACAGCCTTCATCTCCACATGTTCCTCTCCCCACATCCTTCCAAATTGATGATGTTACCTGGATGAGAAATGAGATGTTTGCAAGACGATTTGAAAGGATCATGACTCGTCTTGACTTCCGAACTGTGGAATAGTGAACAAACATTAGTTGATGGTTATTAGCCCTGATTTTTATTTTTAATTTCACTCAGATTACTCCTCATTTTTCCAAAATGGATAAATGCATACAATACTCTTTTTATTTTAGATTCCCAATAATAACATATAGATTCCTTCCTTGACTTCTGTGGCCTCTTCTCTTAATCCAGATATGGGCAGCTATGGCCCCCTTTACGACTTGTGGACTTCAACTCCCAGAGTTCCTGAGCTGGCTCAGGAATTCTGGGAGTTGAAGTCTATGGGTGGCAAAGAGGCCATATTTGCTCATCCTCCTGTATTAATCTGTATATAGGAGTTTATCAGCCATGAAAGTTTCTACTAAACTTGTTTTGGGTCATATTTAATCTTTAAGATATACGTCAGCTTCAAAACTCAGCACCCTCCCTGGCCTTTCTTTCTCTAAATTATTTTATAATTTTCACTGTTGTTCGTAGGCTTTTAGTCTATGGCTATTGCATTAATAAATAAAAATGTAAACATACACACACACACACACATCTCTGTCTGTCTGTCTGTCTATCTATCTATCTATCTATCTATCTATCTATCTATCTATCTATCTATCTATCTATCGGTGGATGGATCAGTAGATAGATATAGAGATAGAAATAGATAGAGTAGGTAGGTAGGTAGGTAGGTAGTAGATGGGAAGATAGGTGGATATATATATATATGGAGAGAGAGAGAGAGAGGGAGGGAGAGAGGGAGAGAGAGAGAGAGAGAGAGAGAAGCACACACATAAATATATAGATACAGATATTTAGACAACATTGCCAACATGAGGTTTGGCAGTCCAAAGCACACCCTTCTTTGTTTTCATCCCAAATTTCATAACATAACATCTCAGCGTTTTCTTAGTAATTATTTTGCGTTGTGTATGTGCATCTGTGTCCCTGCCTTTTTTTTTTTTCCCTGTCCCAAAAGATCAACGGAGGCCCATTACACAGCAGGACTTTAATTCATTCTATAGCAGCTCATTCAGGGATTAAATGTGATTTCGAGCAAGAAGCTCCACAAATTTTTTTTGGGGGGGAGAAACGTACCTTTTATTGGGAGAGTTTGCTCAGGTCTTGTTTGTGTAACACTTTCGTTTTATACCTAACTTGTCGTAGAGTGTAAACTGATGGCTTTGTGTTCTGCATTTATTTGCATGCTTCCAGGAAATGGAATGCAAGGTAAGAAGTCGAAATTGGGAGCAAATGGGATTTTTGTTGTTGTTGTCGTTGTTCAGTTGCTGAGTTGTGTGTTCAGTCCTTCGTGGCCCCCTGGATCACAGCACACGAGGCTCCCCATTCTCCAGGGCCTCCCAGAGTTTGGACAGATCCATATTCATTGCATTTGTGACCCTATCTAAGCATCTCCTGTGCCGTCCCCTTCTCCTTTTGGCCTTCCGTCTTTCCCAACATGGCCAAAGCATTTTTGAGCTTCCGCTTCAGGATAGACGGCCAGGATTGATATCCTTTAGGATCCACTGATTGGATCTGCTTGCAGTCCAAGGGACTCTCAAAAAGAATTTTCTCGAAGCCTCGCGATTCAAAAGCCTCAATTCTTCAGTGCTCAGCCTTCCTTAGGATCCAACTTTCACAGCCGTACGTTAGCAAAAAAAATATGGAAGGAAGGAAGAAAGGATGGGTGGAAGAGGGAGAGAGGGAGGGAGGAAGAGGGAGGGAGGGAGGAAGAAGAAAGGATGGATGGAAGAGGGAGAGAGGAA